TATTTGAAATATTATTTCTCTTATTACACGTAGGTGGTTTAAAAGCACGAGAAGCATTATGTTGATGTTTCAATATGATAATTAGAATAATTAAACATATCAATATAAAAGATAATAAGATAATTAAAGGCAAGTAATACTTTTTAATATAATTATTTTCACGAATTTTAGTTTGCTGTTTTGGTGTCGATGGTAATAATTGATTATCATCAGCATTATTTAACATTATTGAATCTATTTGTGTATTATCAACTTTGTTATATTTCATGTTTTAATTTGAATTTTTTTTTAACTGACAACAAATATGAAATGAATGTATTGTGTATCTATTTTTTTGTTTTGTTTGATTCTTATCTATTAAGTGTACTGTCGTATTGAATTACTTTATTTTATAAATTGAAAAGAAAAAACAATCAATTATTTTAATCTAAATATAACTTCATGATGATATAAACACGAAATATTTTCTTATTCTAATAAAAGACTCAATATGAATGAACGTTGTAAAAGAGTTTCTTATAAATACGTGATTGTGAATATATGCATTATGAGAAGTATCATCAAGCTATATCTGTACACTTTTTAATTGTTGAATAAAACACATTATTACTCATAATATCTCTAATACAGTTTAAAAGTCAAACAGATGAATAGTATATTAAAATGCCAATCAGATAAAAATCTTCTTTCTCTACATAGCATTCATTGAAATCTTTATCATTCTAGCGAAGCATATCAAAGTAATAATCGAAAGTATTTGTTTACAATTCAAAGTTAAATCTCATAACAAACAGAAAGATTTATCAGTATTGTTAAATAAAACTTTGCGGACGCCAATTGAAAACAAATCGTAATAGTAAGTTCAATAACAATTATTCGTTTTTTTTTGGAAAAGATTTTGAGATGCATTAGTATATCGAATAAAGCTGATACGTTAAACAATAATCACAAATATCTTAGATTTTCTTTATAAAGAGATTGATCGATATTTTGTCTTTCAGGAATCTTATAATCTATGTATACGTATTTCTTAGAAGTATAAGCGAAAAATTTATATTAATAAATACATCGCGATCACCAGTTTAAATAAGTTTAACTAGTAAAATTTACGTTTTTGTCACTTTAAGCATGAGTGAAATGCGATAAAATTATAAAAAAAAGACAATTTATCAGTTAAAGGATTTTCAGACCATAAAATCCTAAAAAATATATAATTAGTTCCAGACACTTAACGTTCAGACACTAAAACATCAGATATTTAAAAATATTGATTTCAAATTTTTTTAATTTTAATGAATAAAGAACAATAAAGAAGATGACGTTGAAATCTGTGAGTGAAATTCATCATCAACATGCGAATGTAAAATATGGTAAACCATATTTTGCTGTATTATTAGCTGCATTTTCTTCATTGGGTGGATGGTTTTTTGGATATGATCAAGGTGTAACAGGTGGTATTGTCGTTATGAATTCATTTAAAAATGACTTTTGTGTTGGTATATATGGTAATGCAAGTGTTTGTGATCTTCCAGTAGCTTCTTTACCTTCTGATTATAGACGATATTTAGTATTATTTACATTCTTATATAATGTTGGATGTTTTGTTGGTGCTTTATTCATCTCTTCATTTATAGCAGAAAGATATGGACGTCGAGCTATTATTCTCACATCAGCAATACTATTTACAATAGGTACTTCAATGGTTATATTTCCACCAGGTGGTTCAAAAAAGATTATGATTTTCATACTTATCGGACGAATTATTGAAGGTACAGGTGTTGGTTGCTCATCATTTTCTTGCCCACTATATGCTTCAGAAATCGCACCAACAAATCTACGTGGAATGCTTTCCGGTTTTATGCAATTAACTGTTGTAACTGGTTTATTTGCTGCTAATGTCGTAAATTATTTATTACAAAATCATAAATGGGGTTGGCGATTATCTAATGGTATTATTTTAATTGCACCAATTGTTATTATGATAGGTATATGTCTTTGTCCAGAAACTCCTAGATGGTTATTTAAGAAAAAAGGACGAAAAGCAGCAGAAAATAGTTTACAACGTATTCGTAAAACACGGGATGTAACTAATGAATTAGATGCAATTTCTGATGCTATAAGAGAAGAGGGTAATCAAGTTTCAACTAAAGAATTATTTACACCAAAAATACTTGAAAGATTAGCTGTTGGTATAGGTATACATGTTTTTCAACAAACAACTGGTATTAATCCAATATTTACATTTGGTGGTATTATTTATGAAAATGTTCTTGGCAAGGGTATTATCTCATTATTAATTTTATCTGGTGCAAATTTATTATTTACAATACCAGCCTTATTTTTATTTGATAGACTAGGACGTCGAAATCTTCTTATAATTGGAGGTTTAGGTATGGTAGTTGGTCATCTAGTAGCAGCAACAGTATTTGCTACTGGTTGTAAAGTAGTTAAGACTATTAGTAATGATACAATCGTAACTGAAGAAGTTGTAACTTGTAAAGAAAGTTCTGGTATAGCAATGCTTGTTTTTACAGTTATTTTTGTAGCTTTTTTTGCACTTTCCTGGGGACCAATTGCTTGGATTTATGTAGCAGAAATTTATCCTCTTAATGTTCGAGCTAAAGCTGTTGCAATAGCAACAGGAAGTAATTGGTTAATAGGAATGATTATGTCTTATATACTAGAGTTAATAAATCCATTAGGAATACATGGCGTATTTTATCTTTTTAGTGGTTTGACTTTATTAGCTGTCGTATTTGTCTATCTTTTCTGTCCAGAAACGAGAGGAGTTTTATTAGAAGATATTGAAGAAGTCTTTGATAATTTTCAATTAAAAAATCGACCACCGATTAAAGTCCTACGAAGATTATGTAAGCTAGATATAATAAAAACATACATATAATATTTAATAGGTCATTTTAACTATTCAACTTTTTTTGTTTCGCAATTAATAATGAATAGACATATTATTTCATCGTATGTAATATTACTTTTTTTCTAAATATATATTTTCTTTAATTGTGTTTTGTATTTGTTATATTCAAATGGTTATTTTTATCAATTTTTTTTTGTTCAATGATTTGTTATAGAGTAGTAAAATAATAAAATTTATTTTTTTGTCATATATTCTTTTTTATTCGAAAGAACAGTTTAATGTAAATGATTAAAGATGGATGAATGTGCGGTATTTATAATCGATATAATAAATACCTACAATCATATATTTTTTTGAATCGATATGGTAACATATAATATTTATACTGAAATCATCAGTTAACAGAATCGCAAACTTCAGTTGCTATGATGACGTGTCCACATTTTATTACTTACGCACGTGTCTTTAGTCATACTAGTAATTGCGCAAGCAAATGAAACACATGCGCAAAATAACGATAAAAAGAGTCAAAAAGAAAAATACATTACCATCGACATACCTCTTGAAAAAATTTAACTTCATGTCTAACATAATTATTCCATCTCTTCATACGCTACCAGTAGAACTTGTCTACCGAATATTTGATAATATGGATATGAAAACTATTATATTGTCCTTGCAAAATGTTTCTACACGTATGGATAGAATTATCTATAGTTATTATAGTCATATGGTAAATTTCTTATTTTATTTTGTACATTCTGAATTAGAATACGATAAGTTAAATAGTTCAATAATAACAATAATTACATATTCGAAGCTATTATACTATATGTAAACTTTTGAATCATTTTAACTTTATTACTATTTTATATAGGCTGTTACTACATTAAATCTATACAATAAGGCTCTCGATGATCAAGGAACAGTATATGTTGTTAACATTATACAACACATTAGTGTAATATTTGATCTTCGTTCTATTACGTATTTACTATATATTTCTTCCAGACATTGACGGAACTTGAGTTAGGCTGCAATCAAATAGGTGCTAAAGGTGCTCAACATCTTTCTAATGTTCTTCAACAGAATGAAGTAAAATTTATCAAATTTTCTCAATTATCAACTGTATCATATAGACACTCATTACACTGAATCTTGAATTCAATCTTATCGATGATCAAGGTGCTTTACATCTTGCAAATGCGTTACAGAAAAATAAAGTAATACTAAACACTCATCTTCTTATTCTATGATTGATTGATTAATTACTTCATATAGACACTTACCGCACTTTACCTTCAATTCAACAAGATTAGTTCAGAAGGAGCAGGTCACCTTGCCATTGCTTTACAACAAAATCAAGTAACATTTTACATTTGCCTCTTATACCATCTATTTAATCACGGTTTTCCATAGACACTCACTACACTGGATCTTCGAGGCAATTTTCTCAACTCTAGAGCAGCTCAATTTATTGCTGATACACTACTAAAAAACCAAGTAATATCTCTATTGTCTTATTCTCATAATAATTTATTATTTTCCATAGACACTCGTTACACTGTGTCTTTCACATAATCAAATTAATTCTCAAGGCGCAATGCATCTTGCCGCTGCTCTAAAACAAAATAGAGTAAGATTTCTTATATTTCAATTGTAATATTTACTTTCAACACTATTTCACATAGACGCTCACCACACTGAATCTTGCCAACAATTTAATCGATTCACAAGGAGTAAAATGTCTTGCCAATGCACTAGAAGAGAATAATGTAGGAGCTTCCATTTTTCGATTGTATAACGTACTCACTATTTAATATAGACACTCATATCACTAAATCTTGCTAACAATCAAATTGATGCACCAGAAATAGAATATTTTGTTAATCCTTTACAAAAAAATAAAGTATTATTCAGTCATACTCTTTTCATTCTAGAAATCTTTGATTATTTTATATAGACACTTACAATACTAAATCTCCGCGGCAATCAATTCAATGTTAAGAAAAATAGCCGTCTCATCGCAGCTCTGAAAGAAAATACGGTATGATTGCTTTCATCCATTTAACTCTAACGTTCACTCTTACTTTTTATGTAGATATCTCGCACAATAACTTTATAGGAGAATCAGATCAATTATGTTACAGAACAATATATTAAAAAATTATAGAGAATTCAAAGTCAATTCATTATAATTGAAAACATCTATATTTTTATACAATAATAATAAACTGTCATTTTCGTGTTTTTTGTAATATGTTTAATAAATTCGTTATTTTAAATATTCATGAGTTATAACCAGTCTACAATTGCATTTATTTAACATGGATGATAGTATAAATTTTAGTTTTTGTTGAATAAATATATTCCTCACTCGATATTATAATCAGTGGCGGCGCGAACGGGGGGGGGGGGGGTACTCCCCTCCTGCTTTTGGAAAAAAAAGACTGAATTTTCTCCGATTTTTGACCTGACTTTCCCGTTTGGGACCCATTTATTTTCTCCTTTTTTGCCATCTTCGATTTGAAAACTGGGGTTAGGTCTGCAAAATCCCGTAAAACCTAAACCAAAGACCTTTTTTTTTTTTGGTCATCAGTTTTGGTTTTTGGGTGGTTGAGGCTGAAAATTTTAGAAAATTTTTCTAAAATCCATGAAAACTGAAAATAAGAAAATTTTTTTTTTCTTTCTCGCGTTTTGTGATTACCCCCCCCCCCTCCTGCTTTTAGCTCTTCGCGCCGCCACTGAGATATTCGAAGTTCTTATGAGAATATTACTTTTGACTCA